AATATCTACAAAACCTTGATCAGTTAGTTTATTATGAAGGCCTCGATTCACGTTCCATGAACTTATCTTAATAGAGCCTACTTTTAAGGATACATCACTGTCCTGTCTGTCCTAGTGACCATCATGGCGGGAACTCGCCGTTGAATGAGGGTTTCCGGTGCGCGAGTTGTGGCCGCGCGCACCGTTAGGTGATGTAGCGGACGTGTTTACCCGAGTCACAGCACTGTACGAAGGAACACTATTGCCTGAGTTGGTGTCAACAGAGGTTGGCGATCGTCGCTCCTTCACCGAGCTTTGTTTGATAATCGGACCATCATACAGCCTCCCATCCACAATAAGCTTGTCCCGCACTAACCGCACATTAGTAAGGTCTCCAGTCAGGACAGTGGTCAAGGCTCACCGGACTGACTCTACCTAATCTTATTGTTCTATTCTAATGTCACGGTGTGGTGATCATGATCACCGTGTCATTTGGGAGAGGACTATACCATCTATTGGAATTAGGTATATAGGTAAAGTGTTATTTCAAAGGTATGGTCTATTTATTTCATGATAGATATACCTGTATTTTCTCCGGTGGTTTCAAGTACACATGGTCACCAGGATTATACCAATTAAAAAATATCAATTTCAAAAATTTATTTTATGACAAAATAGATTTATAATAAATTGCCAAAATGCGCGCATTGGCAGCTGAATCGACAGAAAAGCCCCCCCCCCCCCCCCCCTTTGCCANATAACCTGGAATAATACCGCAAAATCAGAAAACTATTCTACGCCTCACTCGATTTGTTTGTCAATGGAAATAATGTACGATAAATTCTTGCTTTTTACGCTCGGTAGTGCTTGAAAAAGTTAAGTATTACATCTTCAACGTAGAAAAAAAATCGCCTAGCTACGCTCGACAGTAGAAGTTTACTTGTCACAATCTCAGCTAAAAAGTTCTATATTTTTTTAGTGCCAGAAAATAGTATACACGAAGAACCGACACGACAATTATAATATATTAGTGTTAGATAAGTGCAAAAATCTGGGGGGTTTTCTGAGTTTAAAATTGTTGGCAACACCCAGAATTAATTCCTGGGTCCCCCTCTGATACCTATGCACTCATTTACGCTCGCTGCATACCCTGGAATATGTCATGACAAAATCGAAGTCTCCGTGTGCGCCACCTTGTGGAGGAGAAAAGAATACTAGTTTGTTCCTTTGATGTACACCAAAAGAATCTCGCGGTCGCGTAACGGTAAACTTGACTAGGGTGTCGCTCTTCTGTAATCTTCAAAGGAAAGGTTTCAGCCGAGCGATCAGTCAGGTTACTTTTTTTTTTTTACCCGAGAGCAATCATTTTAACTGTGTGCCTTCAAATTTGCTATGACAGGAGTAGTGTCGATGACCTATGAGAGGCAGCTCATTTTCGTACAATACCGAGCAGAAGAGTTCAAAAACAGAATGTCCAGAATTATGAGAAAATTACCAGCATGGGAGATTTGTAGACATTTACTTCGTTGTTTTATTCAGTCGTGTTCTGCCAATCTATTCTATTTTCTGTACAACAGTAATGTACAATGCTTGTCAATGATACTATAGATATGCCAGTTTTCAGACGATTGCTTTTAAACAAAGCCAAGGGTGCTACTTTAACACACATATAGATTATATTATCTTAACATATGTATTGAACCATCGTACTATTTCGGCACGTATTTTTAATCCTTCCTCAGTCAATCGATAGGCCGAAGACACCTCATTTTAAAAGATATACACGTAGACAAGCTACCATTTATAAAAATGGCTAGACTCTGCTTGTGATTTTAATGCTGGCGATTGTAGCAGGTAAGTGTGTAGTATCACAAAGTATTTGTTCATTAATCATTTAATTTTTAGTCTTATATATAAAGAAAATACTGAAGATTTCACCAGTTATTTTAGTTGGGTTGTATTTGGTTTTACGTCCTATAAACAGGTAGAGTCATTTTATGAACTTTTATGTAAATTTAAGTGATTTTCTTGTCGCTGAGAACCGTTGGCTCCAATACAAGTTCAGCTATAATTTTTGATATATTTCAAAAAACATCACTGACATATTGAATTATTTCTGATATACAGGGACAATAGCCAATTATTAGAAGCCTCACAAGTTTAAATATTCACTCATAACTTAGTTCTAAAAGTTTAAATTCAAGCTCTCAATTTAGTTTTAAACTTTCGTGTACTTTTCAGTTTTGAAGTGCACAAGCATGTTTGTGTATTGTGTGTTTATATGGAAGCTACTAAGCCTCAACCTTATATTATGAATCAGGAAAAAGATCATATGTGAAAAAAATAAGTTATTTATAGCATTACTTTGTTACTTAAATGTAATTTCCCTATTACTTTATCATAACTTAATTGTTTCATGTTACTTAAGCGTCATTCTATCGTACTCTAACGTAGCTTTATTTTTACTTTAGCGTAGCGTTATTGTGACTAATTGTTACTTTATTGTACTCTAACGTAGTTTAATTGTTGCTTTATTGTAACTATAACGCAGCTTTATTGATACTTTATTGTTACTCTAACGTAGCTTAATTGTTACCTTATTGTTACTCTAACGCAGCTTTATAGTTACTTTATTGTACTCTAACGTAGTTTAATTGTTACCTTATTGTAACTCTAACGCAGCTTTATTGATACTTTATTGTTACTCTAACGTAGATTAATTGTTACCTTATTGTTACTCTTACGCAGCTTTATAGTTACTTTATTGTTCCTCTTACGTTACTTTATTGTTACTTTATTGTAGTCTAACGTAGCTCAACTGTTCCTTTATTGTTACTCTAACGCAGCTGTATAGTTACTTTATTGTACTCTACCGTAGTTTAATTGTTACCTTATTGTAACTCTAACGCAGCTTTATTGATACTTTATTGTTACTCTAACGTTACTTTATTGTACTCTAACGTAGCTTAATTGTTACCTTATTGTTCCTCTAACGCAGCTTTATAGTTACTTTATTGTACTCTAACGTAGTTTAATTGTTACCTTATTGTAACTCTAACGCAGCTTTATTGATACTTTATTTTTACTCTAACGTAGCTTAATTGTTGCTTTATTGTAACTTAAACGTAGCTTTATTGTTACTTTATAGTTACTTTATTGTTATTTTATTGTACTCTAACGTAACTTTATAGTTAATTTATTGTTACTCTAACGTAGATTAATTGTTACCTTATTGTTACCCTAACGCAGCTTTATAGTTACTTTATTGTTATTTTATTGTACTCTAACGTAACTTTATAGTTAGTTAATTGTAACTTAAACGTAGCTTTATGGTTACTTTATTGTTACTCTAACTTAGCTTTATAGTTACTTTATTGTCACTTTATTGTACTCTAACGTAACTTTATAGTTAATTTATTGTTACTCTAACGTAGCTTAATCGTTACCTTATTGTTACTCTAACGCAGCTTTATAGTTACTTTATTGTTCCTCTTACGTTACTTTATTGTTACTTTATTGTTTCTCTAACGTAGCTCAATTGTTACTTGATTGTTACTCTAACGTAGCTCAACTGTTCCTTTATTGTTACTCTAACGTAACTTTATTGTTACTTTATTGTAGTCTAACGTAGCTCAACTGTTCCTTTATTGTTACTCTAACGCAGCTTTAATGTTACTTTATTGTTACTCTAACTTAGCTTTATAGTTACTTTATTGTTCCTCTTACGTTACTTTATTGTTACTTTATTGTCCTCTAACGTAGCTCAACTGTTCCTTTATTGTTACTCTAACGCAGCTGTATAGTTACTTTATTGTACTCTAACGTAGTTAAATTGTTGCTTTATTGTAACTCTAACGTAGCTCAATTGTTAATTTATTGTACTCTAACGTAACTTTATAGTTAATTTATTGTTACTCTAACGTAGCTCAGTTGTTACTTTATTGTACTCTAACGTATCTTTATTGTTACTTTATTGTTACTCTAGCGTAGCTTTATTGTTACTTTATTGTTACTCTAGCGTAGCTTTATTGTTACTTTATAGTTACTTTATTGTTCCTCTTACGTTACTTTATTGTTACTTTATTGTACTCTAACGTAGCTCCTAACGTAGCTTTATTGTTACTTTATTGTAGTCTAACGTAGCTCAACTGTTCCTTTATTGTTACTCTAACGTAGCCCAATTGTTACTTTATTGTTACTCCAACGTAACTTTATAGTTACTTTATTGTAACGTAGCTCAATTGTTACTTGATTGTTACTCTAACGTAGCTCAACTGTTACTTTATGGTTACTCTAACGTAGCTTTATAGTTACTTTATTGTAACGTAGCTCAATTGTTACTTTCTTGTTACTCTAACGTAACTTTATTGTTACTTTATTGTTTCTCTAACGTAGCTCAATTGTTAATTTATTGTTACTCTAACGTAACTTTATTGTTACTTTATTGTCCTCTAACGTAGCTCAACTGTTACTTTATTGTTCCTCTAACGTAGCTTAATTGTTGCTTTATTGTAACTTAAACGTAGCTTTATGGTTACTTTATTGTTACTCTAACTTAGCTTTATAGTTACTTTATTGTCACTTTATTGTACTCTAACGTAGTTAAATTGTTGCTTTATTGTAACTCTAACGTAGCTCAATTGTTCCTTTATTGTTACTCTAACGTAACTTTATTGTTACTTTATTGTTTCTCTAACGTAGCTCAATTGTTACCTTATTGTACTCTAACGTAACTTTATAGTTACTTAATTATAACTTAAACGTAGCTTTAATGTTACTTTATAGTTACTTTATTGTTATTTTATTGTACTCTAACGTAACTTTATAGTTAGTTAATTGTAACTTAAACGTAGATTTATTGTTACTTTATAGTTACTTTATTGTAACGTAGCTCAATTGTTACTTTCTTGTTACTCTAACGTAACTTTATAGTTACTTAATTATAACTTAAACGTAGCTTTAATGTTACTTTATAGTTACTTTATTGTTACTTTATTGTAGTCTAACGTAGCTCAACTGTTCCTTTATTGTTACTCTAACGCAGCTTTATAGTTACTTTATTGTACTCTACCGTAGTTTAATTGTTACCTTATTGTAACTCTAACGCAGCTTTATTGATACTTTATTGTTACTCTAACGCAGCTGTATAGTTACTTTATTGTACTCTAACGTAGCTCCTAACGTAGCTTTATTGTTACTTTATAGTTACTTTATTGTAACGTAGCTCAATTGTTACTTGATTGTTACTCTAACGTAGCTCAACTGTTCCTTTATTGTTACTCTAACGCAGCTGTATAGTTACTTTATTGTACTCTAACGTAGTTAAATTGTTGCTTTATTGTAACTTAAACGTAGCTTTATGGTTACTTTATTGTTACTCTAACGCAGCTGTATAGTTACTTTATTGTACTCTAACGTAACTTTATAGTTACTTTATTGTTCCTCTTACGTTACTTTATTGTTACTTTATTGTAGTCTAACGTAGCTCAACTGTTCCTTTATTGTTACTCTAACGCAGCTCAATTGTTACTTTATTGTTCCTCCAACGTAACTTTATAGTTACTTAATTATAACTTAAACGTAGCTTTAATGTTACTTTATAGTTACTTTATTGTACTCTAACGTAGCTTAATTGTTACCTTATTGTTACTCTTACGCAGCTTTATAGTTACTTTATTGTTCCTCTTACGTTACTTTATTGTTACTTTATTGTTACTCCAACGTAACTTTATAGTTACTTTATTGTACTCTAACGTAGCTCAACTGTTCCTTTATTGTTACTCTAACGTAACTTTATTGTTACTTTATTGTTTCTCTAACGTAGCTCAATTGTTACTTGATTGTTACTCTAACGTAGCTCAATTGCTATTTTATTGTTACTCTAACGCAGCTCAATTGTTACTTTATTGTTAGTCTAACGTAGCTCAATTGTTAATTTATTGTTACTCTAACGTAACTTTATTGTTACTTTATTGTAGTCTAACGTAGCTCAACTGTTCCTTTATTGTTACTCTAACGCAGCTTTGTAGTTACTTTATTGTACTCTACCGTAGTTTAATTGTTACCTTATTGTAACTCTAACGCAGCTTTATTGATACTTTATTGTTACTCTAACGTAACTTTATAGTTACTTAATTGTAACTTAAACGTAGCTTTATTGTTACTTTATAGTTACTTTATTGTTACTCTAACGTAGCTCAATTGCTATTTTATTGTTACTCTAACGCAGCTTTATTGTTACTTTATTGTACTCTAACGTAGCTCAATTGTTCCTTTATTGTTACTCTAACGCAGCTTTATAGTTACTTTATTGTTACTCTAACGTAACTATATAGTTACTTTATTGTTACTCTAACGTAACTTTATAGTTACTTTATTGTTACTCTAACGTAGCTTTATTGTTATTTTATTGTTACTCTTACGTTGCTTTATAGAGACTTTAGTGTTTCCCGAAGTGTAGTGTAATTTTTTATTTAGCGATGCTTTATTGTCATTTAACCGTTAAGCTAACCAGACTGTCAGTATATACAATGTCATTCAAACACGAACACACACAAAAAATACCGACCGTATTCATATAATTAAGTCTCGGGTCTCTTTAAAAACACATTCAAAACACAGACAATGTGGCCCGAATACACGTACCATTATGTATGTAGACAGGTATTGTAAGTATATTCATACACAACCACCTCAATAAGCCTACAGTCGCGATTCACAATATCTGTTTCCTTTTTTCCCTTCAAATAATTTAGCCATGTATAATGTACTGGTTCACGTATTACCATAGGTGTAATGACTATTGCGTTGGGTCCCGTTACTACCCGATCGGACGTGAATAGGTATGGGGTCACCTGTCCGAACACGTGGGTTTTCTCCGGGTACTCCGGTTTCCTCCCCCATTAAGTTCCCCCACATCGTATTAAGATTAGAGCCTTCACTAAATTTAAGCAAAATAAGATACTCTACTTACATAAAGTTAACAGCTACATCCGTCCAGAGAATACGCACGTGCGCAATCCGGGTAATTAATAAACTAAATTTAGAAAAAAAATCCGATCAATTTCCGGACCCCCAACCCGGACAACATACAGGCAAAAGTAACGAGGGGAATTCGATAGAGTGTATATGTAAGTGAGGAGCCTGGTCAATCATGGCGATAGAGTATATATGTAAGTGAGGAGCCTGGTCAATCATGGCGATAGAGTATATATGTAAGTGAGGAGCCTGGCCAATCATGTCGATAGAATGTATACGTAAGTGAGTAGCCTGGTCAATCATGTCGATAGAGTGTCTATGTAAGTGTGGAGCCTGGTCAATCATGTCGATAAAGTGTATATCTAAGTGGGTAGCCTGGTCAATCATGTCGATAGAGTGTATATGTAAGTGAGGAGCCTGGCCAATCATGTCGATAGAGTATATATGTAAGTGAGGAGCCTGGCCAATCATGTCGATAGAATGTATACGTAAGTGAGTAGCCTGGTCAATCATGTCGATAAAGTGTATATCTAAGTGAGTAGCCTGGTCAATCATGTCGATAGAGTGTATATGTAAGTGTGGAGCCTGGTCAATCATGTCGATAGAGTGTATATGTAAGTAAGAAGCCTAGTCAATCATGTCGATAGAGTATATGTAAGTGTGGAGCCTGGTCAATCATGTCGATAGAGTGTATATGTAAGTGTGGAGCCTGGTCAATCATGTCGATAGAGGGTATATGTAAGTAAGAAGCCTAGTCAATCATGTCGATAGAGTATATGTAAGTGTGGAGCCTGGTCAATCATGTAGATAGAGTATATATGTAAGTGAGGAGCCTGGTCAATCATGTCGATAGAGTAAATATGTAAGTGAGGAGCCTGGTAAATCATGTCGATAGAGTGTATATGTAAGTGAGGAGCCTGGTCAATCATGTCGATAGGGTATATATGTAAGTGAGGAGCCTGGTCAATCACGTCGATAGAGTATATATGTAAGTGAGGAGCCTGGTAAATCATGTCGATAGAGTTTATATGTAAGTGAGGAGCCTGGTCAATCATGTCGATAGGGTATATATGTAAGTGAGGAGCCTGGTCAATCATTTCGATAAAGTGTATATGTAAGTGAGGAGCCTGGTCAATCATGTAGATAGAGTGTATATGTAAGTGAGGAGCCTGGTCAATCATGTCGATAGAGTATATATGTAAGTGAGGAGCCTGGTCAATCATTTCGATAAAGTGTATATGTAAGTGAGGAGCCTGGTCAATCATGTCGATAGAGTAAATATGTAAGTGAGGAACCTGGTCAATCATGTCGATAGAGCATATTATGTAGGTGATGAGCCTGGTCAATCATGTCGATAGAGTGTATATGTGAGGAGCCTGGTCAATCATGTCGATAGAGTATATTATGTAGGTGATGAGCCTGGTCAATCATGTCGATAGAGTATATATGTAAGTGAGGAACCTGGTCAATCATGTCGATAGAGTATATTATGTAGGTGATGAGCCTGGTCAATCATGTCGATAGAGTGTATATGTAAGTGAGGAACCTGGTCAATCATGTCGATAGAGTGTATATGTAAGTAAGAAGCCTAGTCAATCATGTCGATAGAGTATATGTAAGGGTGGAGCCTGGTCAATCATGTCGATAGAGTGTATATGTAAGTGAGGAGCCTGGTCAATCATGTCGATAGAGTATATATGTAATTGAGGAGCCTGGTCAATCATGTCGATATAGTATATATGTAAGTGAGGAGCCTGGTCAATCACGTCGATAGAGTATATATGTAAGTGAGAAGCCTGGCCAATCATGTCGATAGAGTGTAAATGTAAGTGAGGAGCCTGGCCAATTATGTCGATAGAGTGTATATGTAAGTGAGGAGCCTGGTAAATCATGTCGATAGAGTGTATATGTAAGTGAGTAGCCTGGTCAATCATGTCGATAGATTGTATTTGTAAGTGAGGAGCCTGGCCAATCATGTCGATAGAGTATATATGTAAGTGAGGAGCCTGGTCAATCATGTCGATAGAGTGTATATGTAAGTGAAGATCATAGTCAATCATGTCGATAGCTCGGTTGATGAGGCAAGAGTTTTTATGACCAGCACGGAGACTATCAGAATATTAGGTCGATAAACTAAGAGCATGTATATTGTATTGATATTGAGAAAATAAATTAAAGACAATATTCAAGTAGCAAAATATTTAGCAAGCACTTTGATGAGATCAAAAATGAAAATCAGCAAAAGAGAAAAATGTGATAAAATACCTATAATTTAGGTAAACACGGGTACAAATATTATATTCATGAAGATTATGAAGCAAAATACAATAGAGAAACATATAAATAGTATATAGTATTAAACAAAATAACTAGAACGGGATTTCATGTCATAAACAAAATAGCTGAAAACTGAAAAAAAAGGTTCACCCCCCACGCGCTTACATCCGGGCCAACAAGAGTGATTAATATAAGTTGAAATAACTTATACATAATTGTTGTAATATTAATAAAGTATCTATACAAATAAAAAAACAGTCCACACATATTCTTCACGTCAGTTTGTTTATACTTTTTTCCAATTCAACTTCCTTATTTTGGACATTTTGTATTTTAATGATGGTTCAGTTAGTCCGTACATTTAATTCTTATTTCATTTTATTAAGAAAAGTATTATATTTATCTATTTTGTGTGTTTGTGTGTTGGGGGAGGGGGAGGGTACCTCTTTTTCGAATGAATTACACTGTAGTTACAACTGAAGTGAGTTTAACTATTATATTATATATATATATATCGTTACTCGATTGAACGAGTTTCACGATTTCTTTTTTTCAGTCGTGGTAGAGGCAGATTTTTGTATGAACTTTAACGACAACACGCTGTCCACCTACTGTAAATTTGGTTGCTGTGGTGTAAAACTGAACGAGTGTTGTAACAATGACGACTACTACAATGAACTGTACGTATATATATGTATACCTATTTTCCCAAATCCTTCATTGGTTGAATTATAATCACGTGGAGGTCGGTGATAGGCGATAGAAACGGTTCAATAGTCTCTTCATGACGTAACGTTCCTATGCTCTCTGCCAAATGCGGTGCTTTTCTAATACGTTCTACATTGTTTAATGTTGAGATACAATATCTTTCAAATGTTTTAACATGAAGAGTGATATTAACCTCTGCCTCGTCTCGGTTACTATCTCTTTCTCGGGGTCATATTATCGCATATTCACCTCAATAAAAGTCCATAATTGTACATTATAGAGATAGGCCAAACATGTTATGTAAGTGGTTCTCGTTTCCCTGTGGACCTGAAATCTACATTTACATATAATTTGCAATTTTGTAAGAATAAATGCATAATCAGTCAGAAAATAAACAAATGTAAACATCCTTGATGACAATCAAAATTAATTAAGTTAGATAGGATGTGTCATCGACGATTTACATCAAACTTATAAAGCTATGGTATTCGTGCCAAACCCTTTCAGTGGTTGGAAAGCAACGCTTACAAGTCTGCCGCTCTACCGATTTTTGCTAAAGGGAGATTCCATATTGCGCAAAGCTAGAAGGCGACCGTAATGTTATGTAGAATTAAACCCTACTACAGTCCTGCTTTAGTGATTTTCTTTTGAACTGTACATATAAGTGTATAAAGTGAGGCGTTTAGAATATTTTTTTTCTTTATGCATGCTATTTTTGCTTTTGTAATCACATAGAACTACAAACATATCGGGCTATTTACAGGACTGCGGGAGCGATCGCCGGAGTCGTCATCGCCTCGCTTGTCGGCCTGGCCGTGGTCATAGGTGGCGTCTTATTAGTCGTCTTTCTCGTCAATTCCAACTGTTGCCACGAGCAAGGTAACCAAGGTGTCGTGTTCTCGACAGGCGCATGCGCAAACCCTCCATCCGTGAATATAAGAGGTAAGTTTATTCAGCGAAATAGTATAAATACTATATGTATTCGGTGTGGCCAGGGACGTATAATTACTGTCCCTGGTGTGGCATTCCATTTTTTGTGCCTTGAATTCTTGATGTTCCCGTTTGAGCCTAGTTTCATAAGCGATGGGGGAAACCAGAGGAGGTTCGACCCATTTAAATTATTGTCGTTCTGGATAGGATCGCATTTGTTGTATGGGTATATATACCATTTGAAGAGAAAGTCCATGCCTTTCAAAATTAAAAAAAAAAGATTGCAAACACGTCCGTCTTTGAAGAATAATTTAACTTTTTCTATCGGAAGATTGGATGGCCGAACGTGCTCTGCCTTAGACACAAGTAGTCTTAGGTAGGTTCGACCCACGATAGAATCAGTATAATTATGACGTCGTAAAGCATACGACCTCAGATTTCTACGCCAATTTCGCAACTTTCACCGTGTTGCATGGGCTGAACCTGTCCCGGTATTATGTGCCGAACCTTCCTAAAATATATCTTTCAATACATTTGTATATTACAGCAATACGAAGGATAATGATAATGCTAGTCTTTTATATTTACCATCATGTGAAGTTGTCGATGTGTTAAACGTATGGCACGAATAAGTAGCAATTCGGTTGACAGAAAGTACGAAAAACTAGAAACAAGTGAGGTCATGATTTTCTATCTATACACCCCAAAGTGATTTCCCCCCCGTTTTAGTAATTTCATAATTGAGTTTTCCTCGCCATTTTCGTGGGACCCCACTAAAATGCGATTCTCAAAGTTGTGAATATTTGCTCAAGACTAAAATGGTTGAAAGAACTTGGACTTAACCACAGTTTACCTATACCATTTATGTACTGTGTGCGGGTAGTGGAACCGGTATTGATAAATCGATTCTCTCTTTTTTTTTCAATTGTTCCAGTAGGTCAGTCAACCTTAACCAATACACAGACTACATACCAGTATCCACAACAATCTACCAAGGTCTACAACGCCGGCTACGGCTACATATAGGTCACGTGACACACGCGGGGTCGGCGTCTCTTTTCATTTAATAAATATATAATTATCAGCGGCAAATCCGTAACTGTTGAAATAAAGTGGCCCAACTGTGAAGAAGGAATGGGAAATTGGACGACGATTCTGTCATTGACAAAGATACTTCCGATATTCAGCAAAACAAATAGTAACAATTTGTTTTTGTTAAGTTTTTTGCGTTGTTATATCTTGGTTTTTGTTGTTGTTATCATTAACAGTATCTAATGAACATTTCATAAATGTCATACTTAATACCGGAAGTGCATATATTTCATTATCAAAGAATAACCTTAGTCTCGTTCAACCAGACGCTTGATCACTTGTAATTCTCTGTTCGGCGTAGCTTGCGCAGACAAAAAGAGTCTGGTTGAACGAGACTAAGCATAACCTATGCACTCGGAACTCCTCGGATGGCTAGTTCCTCGCAGATAATGATTCATTCGGAACACCGCGCCTTTGCTACCTTGCATAGTTTCGTAGAAAATGACGAAAGGGTATTCCGAATGATAATGATTGAGCGTAGTGGAGTCAACCGAGATTTGCCGACTGCAACCTGATATGCCGACTGCAACCTGTGTGATCTGCTTCTTTCGCTCGGGTTACATTGAGTTTTAAAATGTTTCACGTCATCATGTGTAACGTTTCATTGCATCCAACTAAACTTAACGAATGAGCGTGATATTGCTGATGACGTCAATTTAGAATACTGTATATCACGTGATCTTTTGCACTTTATGCAGTTAACAATATCCGTCAATCGATATGTGTTTTAAAATGCGCTGGTAACTGTTTAATTATACTTTTCATTGTGATACAATTGAACCGGAATTCAGAGGCCATCCTTTTTGTCTAAGTCTTGTTGTACATAGGTGATCCCCTTATACTGGTTCAGTTAAACATGATTCAAAAATGGTCTCTTAACAAAGGCGTCTCTTAATAGAGGTGGTCCTTCAAGGTTTAGCTGTGCCTGACTTTTCTTGTTCGTGACTCATCAATTGTGACTTTTTCGCATTAAAATTGAAATCACACAACTTAAGTATTTACTGTTTTTATATTGTTATCATTATCGTCATGTTCATTGTAAATTTAACATGTAAATGAAAATAAAATATTTCTAAACATAATTGATTTTGTCTGTTTTTCCGTCTACACATTTCTAATGCGTTTAATTTTCGACATCTGTGTGTACATTGTACAGTCGGCTTACGGGCACGATTTATTCTTTACTCACCGATATTGTTGTAAAACATATTCTAGTGTTGGAACTAAAACCATGGCGACATGGGGATTTTTACTAGAGTTGGTGACGATGCTTTATTGTGCTTTTAAAGTGAATACAGATACGTCTTATACATGTACCATGTATATATAATATACCACACAAAGAAACCGAATGGCGCCGGTTAGCTTGCAGGCTTTGCAGGGTGAATTTTTGAATCTATCAAAACTGTATTAGATGGTCTGTATGCTAGCTATTGGTTTGTAACACATTACTATAAAATGTTTGTTCATAAAACTTACAGGTATCGAAAATCGGTAGACAATCATCTATAATAATAAACGTATTTTTAGAAATAACAAAACCCGCTTTTCAATGAAACATGTTTAATATATCATGAAAATAGCACCTGAAATATGTGGGATGATGTATAACATAAACAGCGATAGCTTATTAAAGATGGATATTGGCAATATCGACATTCAAAATTACAGTAGTGACTTATTTTATTTTCACGAAAATATAGCAATATAATTATATATATATTAATATCTATGGCACTTCATATAAAGAAACATTGTATATAGGGCAAGGTAAGATAGAAAAATGTATATCACGTCGTAAAGACACAGGACAAATATTAAATGTATCTGTGTCTGTGTATTTATGAATTGTGTCTAGTTTTATACCGATCGCTACACAGAGTTCTTTCCTTATCCTACTTGCGCTGTTGGTTTAAGGAACGACGGCTCTGGGTAGAGATTGGTATTATATATCAGTACTATTATCCAAATTATATATATATGTAAGTACTAATTTCGGAAATGCTTTATCCGAGTATGGGTATTTTCTGACAGTCAGTGTTTTAAATTAGAAAAACTAGGAAAAAATACTGTATCGTCAACATGCAATGACAAACTCCGATCTAAACATAGAAAAAGTAAACAACAGAAACTGAGGGAGACGCAAACATTGATAAGAAGGTTCAACAAAAACAAATCAATGAAGAATGATTCCAGGTGGTTGTGAGACGAGAACGTATAACACAGACCAATCCAGGTAGATCCCGGTAGGTAGACTAACACAGACCAATCCCGGTAGATCCCGGTAGCTAGACTAACACAGACCAATCCAGGTAGATCTCGTTAGGTAGACTAACACAGACCAATCCAGGTAGATCTCGTTAGGTAGACTAACACAGACCAATCCCGGTAGATCCCGTTAGGTAGACTAACACAGACCAATCCAGGTAGATCTCGTTAGGTAGACTAACACAGACCAATCC